TAGGGAATGTTCCAGATATTRCTGAGCACCGGTTAATATGTAGGTGGGAGCACTGGAAAATCATGCTTGGAGTGGAGCTTGGAGACAGAACAGGGCTGCAGGCAGAAGAGGCTCCTATTTCTACGTGCTACTGTTTATGCATGTCATAACTGTAAGATATCTTGCCTGTCTGAAGAAACTGATCTGTGCCCTAAAAGAAAGGGGAGAGCCTCAAGGGAGATATTTGAAGAGTGGCAAAGCAAGGACCAAGAATAGCTCAGGAAAGCAAAGTCGGGTTCTGAAAGCAGTGCTGTGAAAAATAGAGTGGGACTTAAGGGCTGAGGCAGCAGTGAGACAAGAGTGGAAATGAGAATCAGACAGAGCAGAGACTGAAGAGGAAACAGAAGTAAATGGCCCTGTGAGGAAGCAGGGATGTTTGCAAGGAAAGGGGTAAGGACGAGTATTGGTGGTGGAGGATTACGGATTCGTGACAAGAATAGAGAATAAAGAGCAAGTCACCCAAGGAAAAGGTAAGATGTGACTCAGGGAGCTAAAAGGTGAGATAGGGGTTGCAAGATCTCAAAAGAGGTCTTGGGTGGCAGTTACRCAGTGGACTCGGTGGAGCAGCGTGGGCAGAGCTCGCCGAGGGGCAGAAGCCTCGGGAGGTGCGAGGCAGGGGGCAGTTTAGGCGGGTGCTGGGAGCTGGATGCAAGGCACAAATTCCAGGATCCTGAGAGGAAGGGTGGTAATGGGAGCTTGTAGAGAAGAGCAGGAGTGTTGAGTAGGCCTGACGTACTAACCGCGCAGGCCTGCGGGTGCTCCAGCTGCTGGGGGATTCAGCTTCGACCTTGTTTTCTTTCACCAAACTTAACAACCCAGAGCAATTTGGCTGGTACAGCCCATAAACTCCTGGAAAACAAACCTGCTTCTCCTGACTAGCTGTTGGTCCAAGTGCAGAATGTCTTTTATTGTGCACCTGTATATGTAAGGAAGCTTTTGGTTACGTACATTCAAGATGTAACTAATAAATTATCACCTACTAAATCAAAACCTTTTTCCAAAAAGGACTGTGCTTTTCAGATTGCTGATGTTAACTTTGAAAACCTCACCTTAAAGAAAGAGCCTAGAACTGGTTACAGTGAAAATTATGGCAARTGCTTTTAAAATAGAAAGTAAGTTAAGAAAGTTTATTTTGCTTTTTCCTTTTAAGAACAAGTATGTTTTGTTGAATTATTCATTTCTTGTTCTCCCTGCTCCAGTCTTCTCCCTCCGTTAAAGAATATCRCTTTTGGGCAGAAGTGGCCTAAGGAAAGTTGAGCTGAAGGAAGGGTAAATGCTTGGGAATTAGGTAAACCTGGAAAAGAGGGYATGGTTAAAAACTATCTTCTGTGATGAAATATGAAAGTATTTAAAAACATTTCTCCTCTCCACACCTTATTCGGCTTTAGAGATATATAAAATTTTGAGTTCAAAAAATCACATTCAAACATTGTAGGGGATATGTCTGACTTTGGCTTAATAATATTTGCATATTTATGTGTCTGTGAGGATGGTTTCTGGATGCAGCAGTTTAGCTGACCTCAAAACTGGTGCAGGCATTTTTTTTGTCAAGCCACAAGCTTATGAAGTTAAGCGTGCTGTTGACACAAATACCTAGATAAACTTTACTTAAAGGAATGAAATATTTAGTATTTTATTAAGCATGGTCTTAATGCTGTTTCCAAGTTCTAGCAGTTGGAGATTTGCCATCAGCTTTTGTGGGTGCAGAATCCAACTGCATTTATAATAATAATGTAAACCATATTGCTAAAGATGGAGTCACAGAGCCCTTTGTTGCAAAGCTTAATAAATATCTGTTAGAGAGTGTTGAAGTGGTCAGATAATTGCAGCAGGTTTTGCTGAACTGTCTCCTTTGGAGAAATTGCTAAAGTTGTTGATTTTTTTTTTCAATGTTTTGGGGCAGGAAAGGTTTATCATTGAATTTAGTTACTTCTTATATTTGTCCAGTAGGCTGGCAAGAAAGCATGCCAAAACAAAACAGTTTGTGCAGTCTTTAGTGGAGAGGCGGTGGTATCTGCTGACAGGTATTTTCCAAGGAAAGGAATAGTTTGCAGCTAGAGGGAAAGTGTTAAAGTGTACCCAAACTAGTAATGCAAACCAAAAGAGCAACCTTTGATCCAAGACATAACTTAGGTCACATTTTAATGAATAGCTTTATTAAACTAGTTTATTAAACTAATATTATTCTGTCAGTTAGTACATTTTATTTGCAGAAAATTGGATCTGTCTAAGGGTATCTGACATGCACTACAGTTATGCTGTTTTAAATTAAACTTTTAGCTTTAGTGTGTGTACTAAAAAGAATGTTTTAATGTATTTGAAGGAATGTGCTCAGCTGCAACACTGACATTTAAAATTATATGAGTTCTGAACAGAATTCATGTAGGACTTTTTCCTGTTAAAGACAGGGAAGGTGCAGGTTTGCAATGCAAAAAACCTTGCCGCTGTTGTAGCTTTATCTAGCGCTGCTTATTGGATGTATTTTACTTGTAGCCTGGCTGTGTTTGAAAGTAGAAAGGATCTGTCTACATTTTTTGTATATTCTTGTATCCTTTTTGTATGYCTGTAGTTGAATGTTTTATGTTTTATTGTTTTGATCTTCTTTGTTCCTGTTAGTAAATATTTTCCTATGCGTAGGAAACAGAGGTGTGTCTTTTCTGATGCTTTCAGGCTTCATATCTTCAAATAAAATCTGAGTCATGAAGTTCAAGGCACACTACAAAATATTACAAGTTCACAAGTACAATTGCTTGAAACCAAGTATATCTCAATCCAAGTATATCCAAGTATATCTAAATTCAAAGTCAAGTTGTTTCAGATTGTAAATGGATGCTTAACCAAAACTAAACTCTCAGCTATTATTCTCAAAGGCCTTTCACAAAATGACGTTGTATCTAAAGTCCCYGTGGTTTAAGCTAAAGGTTTCTGTAACCTAAACAAAATGAAAAACATTGAGCAGACTTCCTAAAGTACCACGCAGAAATCTTAAATTCTTTTTCTGATGGCAGAAGATTGATCTGATGTCAAGAGCAGGAGAAAGTGAAGGCAGCTGTTTTCTGTTAACTGCATAGCTGTCGGTTTGTCCCTGTCGATTTGGGACAGTCCAYGCTCCCTGCTTGGGTATATCAGCTAATAACAGGGTGGTTGCTATAGGTATTTGTGTTTTTATGCTGGCCTGTACCCAGAGTTGTTTGCCACCCTTTTCATTTCCATTTTGCCTGCAGCTGCGTGAGTCAGAGGCAGCTCCTGGTGCTGCCGTGACTTTGAAGTCACTTCTCATTTGTCCAGCGGAGCCTCTGTGTGGGAACTGTGGTTCAAGACTGGTCGTGTGCTCCCGTTGACAGCGTGCAAATACTGTCTGTCAAGCCCCGGTCGGCCCGGGAAGGCAGCTGAGAGCTGAAACAGCTTCCAGGAGCCTGTCAGGGACCTGTGATGGAGCGCGTGGCAGCTTCCGCAGCAAAAACGAAGGCATCCGTAGGTCTCATTGCATTAAAACTTCCCAAAGAGTGGACCACCGTTTCCCATTCCCGTTTTGTCTACCAAAGCTTCCTTACTCCTCCCCGTCTAGGCAGCCTCCCTCAGCAATTTCCTGAGCTGACTGGATTTCGCAGCCTTGTGTACATGTCCCCGTCATCCCAGGGCRGGAGGCCCCACGCTGAACACAGGCTGGATGGCCCTCAAATTTCCTGTCTCCACATGAAATCTCTATCTGGCAGTTCAGATGCCGTTTGCAGGCATGCTGTTTGTGTCCCTGGAAATCAAGATTTCCAGTCTCTGTAACCGTAGCATCCTCTAGAAGGACAAATTAAGTGGGTTTCTCGAATCACACGACCTGTTATTTACATACTTTTTCGCCCTGATTCATAGTGTCACTAGGTTTAAACTTTGCCTATTTTTACTAGTTCGGAGTCAGTTGGGCTGGATCTTCAGCCTGCCTTTTAGGTGTGAAGAAAATGTGTTCGTCCTGCTCAAAGTGCCCAAAACACTGAGTAACGTGTGAGACGAGCGCCAGSTGCTTGTGGGGGTGTCCTGGGAGCCAAGGAAGCCTCCACGTGCGCTGTCCCAGCATTTGCTCCAAGGGTGGATCCGGATCAGTTTACCTGCTGCTTTTACCAAAAATTTGGCTAAAATAAAGTACGTGGTGACCCAGTGGGGTCCCCTCCAGGGGAAGCCAATAGGTGATGCTAGAAAGAAGCTCCCTTGGCTGATGCCACACTCAGGGCTGTTGACCACGGCGCTYTTGTGTCTGTCTCCTACCTTTTTTTGTCCCTTTTTCTTTCCCTGCTGCTGCCCCTGGCTGTCAGCGCTCCTGTATTGCCCACACGGGTCATGGGGCGCAGCCTTCCTGCCTGTCCCCTCCACCAKTGTGGACGAGGGGCTCCTCCGTTTGCCTGATTTACAGCAAAAAGACTCTGCATTTTTTCCCCTGGAGAGCCCTAATTCTAGGAGTTTCAAAAATTGTTCCCTTGAGACTTCTGCCACCTTCATGGCGACTTGTAACCATCAGAGCTGGCTCCCGCTGGTGCGTTASGTTACTGGTGTGAACGTGGCGGGGCCGGGAATCCTGCTGGAGTCGCAGCCGGGCGGCGAAGGCGCAGGAGCAGCCTGCGAGGGTGCCCGGAGGGCGGGAGACGCGTCTGCCCTGCCCGAGTCCCCGGCAGTTGGTCAGACGGCGTGTGTTTGAGGCGCCGTGGGGCGCGGGGCTCGGGGCCATGGCGGCGGGCGCGG